AGAAGAAATTGGACGTGGAGCAGGGGTTCTTCGTGATGCATTAACATCATTCTGGAAAGGCTTTTGTAATGCCTTAAGTGTTGGTGCTCAGAGTAAAGTACCTGCAATTCGCCATGACTATCAAAAGAAAGAGTGGGCAGCTGTAGCCAGGATCTTGCTGTTTGGATTTATGAAGGAGCGTTACTTTCCACTGGTTTTGTCCCCAGCATTCATAGCAGCATGTTTGTTTGGGGAAGATGGTGTCAGTGATGACTATCTGCTGAAATCGTTTTATAAGTATATAGGTGAAGAAGAAAGAGAAGCATTGAAGAAATGCATGAGTGATGACTTTGATTCTACAGATGAGGATGTGTTAGATTTTCTATCTAGTTACAAATGCTATAAACATGTTACCAAAGAAAACATAAATGAGATAATTCATCAACTTGCCCATCAAGAATTAATTCAACGACCCAAATATATAATGCATTGCTGGTCCCCCTATTTGAAGATATTGCTGCAGTTTGATGATTTTAAATCAGTGGAAGCTCTTGAAAATTTTTACAATCAAAAAAAGCCAACACCAAAAAAGTTGATCAAACTTATAGATGCAAATCCAGCAAATGATGCAGAGAGGAGCTGTTTAGATCATCTCAAGCGCTACATCAAGTCCTTGCAATGTACCTTGCTAGAAACATTCCTTCAATTCATCACAGGAAGTGATATCCTCTTGTGTGACAGCATAGCAATATCATTCAGTGATTTATTAAGTGATCCAGTTCAGTCTGGCAAAGGTAGAAGACCAATAGCTCACACATGTGGACCAGTTTTGGAGCTGCCATCTACATATCAGTCGTACAATGAACTAAGTGAGGAATTTACAGAACTCTTGAACAACAAGGATTCATGGGAATACAATATTGTTTGAGGGATTGAAACCTTATCTCACATTAAATCTTATTAATTGTACAAGCTGAATTTCTGTTCTTCAGTATTTACTCAATGTTTTGTTATTATTTAGGTATATTCCAGCATGTTTATTGTAACATTTTTCTGATAGTTTCAGTTGTTTTTCAGTTTTTTTTATTATTTTAAATTTGTTCCATATATACAAAGATAAAACTAGCATACAATAATATAAGGCATCAGCACAAAAATCATACATTACTACATATAATTAATACAATTGGCAAATAAAAGACAAAGAAATTAAATTTACTGCATAGAGAAAATTATTTAAAGGAGAAGTGCTCTCGATAAGTAGATTAAATGAGGAGGGAGCCCCCTCCCCTAAAATAATATTGACCTTAGATGAATTTGAATAAACCCAAGAAAGAGATGAAATTTAATTTTATCATGCTATGCATCAAAACAATTCCAGCACATGGGCCCTATAAAATATTCAAACAAAAGTTGTGAAATTATTAAAGAAAACAATTAGATCAGGGTTCATAAGTTAACCTTGTTCAATAAGATGATTTTCAATTGTGTTTTTAATTATATTATAAACAAAACACTACAGAGCTCTACAGGAATTGTTCAGTTTATTATAATTGCAAGCTTACTATATATTGGAAAAGTTGTAATGCACTTTGTTCATCGCTTGGAACACCTAGCTGTTGCTGATCAATTATATACTCAAAATATTCTGTATATACATTGTCTGGGTTTTCCTCTCTGATATACTCTTCAAACTGGTGTAATTCATCTTCTTCAACTTCTGTTTTACAATCATAAGCATTATAATATTCAGGCAAATAGAACATTATATCTGGTACTCCATGTACTTTGCTGTAGCCATTTTTTGAGATGCGATGAGAGTTCCAATGGTCTTTAACACTGTTGAGGTCATTTTGAAGTATTCTTGCAAAGCAGAACCATAGGCATTCCATATGGATATGATCACCAAGCAGTAAAGTGCCTTCATCTACAAGACCTTTGAAGAAATCCATCCACCAGCTACTACGGTTTTTTCGTAAATATGACCACCAACCCTCTATTCTCTGATTGGCTGGGGATGAGCAAAACCTGTGAGCCTTCATTCCTGCTAAGGCATCATTAGAGCCAGATCGTAAGGTGCTCTGGATTGCAGCAGCAGTACCATTTTCTGTACCCCTGTCTGAGACAAGTACTCTCGGGCAACCACCTGTCTCTCTTATTGAATCTAGGAATAGACTTGCAGTGACATTTGGGTTGTTGTTTGACCTAACAACCTCCAGCCAGAGAATCCGACGGCTAAAGCCATCTATGGCACCATGAACTGGAAATCCATAAGGCTTCAGCTTGTCATATCCTGGATTTGAAAAGAGTAAAAATAACACAAAGTTTTTCTAGTGCATTTTTCAAAGCCTCAGTGTTGCAATAATCTCTGAACTTAGCACCAGCATAAAAATTTATTTTAAACTTTTTGCTTGTGTGAACAAACAGTTAGCAATCAAAGATGCTATCCAATAATTTCCACGAAGTAGCTTTCTATGACTATCAGCAATTTCCAAAATTATTGTATTTAGATATCTCTGTTTGGAGATAAATTTGAATTCTTCTACCCCTACAAAGGAATTTTCAAAAAAAATCTACATACAAATCAGTCCTATTGAAGCTGAAATTATTTGTTTAATGGTTATTTTTTGAAAAAATACAGTCATGCATGTGGTGATAAATATTTGGGGACAGTACCTGGAACCCTATATCCCCCAGTCTAACATATTTCCCATGGTCCCTGAGCTAATACGTACCGTCTACATGCCATGAGTAATTTGGGCCTTCTGAGAAGAAAGTGCGACGACGTAGCTTTCTTTTCTTCCGTGCTTCAACTCCATCTGGGTCCATCTCTTTCATCACATTTGCAACAAAAGATCTTGGAACATGTAAGTGATGTTTCAAACGAAGGGCATGCCAAATGCTTCTATATCCTGCTAGACTTCCTGGTCCACTCATTTCAGTCCTTATAATATGTCTTATATGGTTCTCATCTTCGAAATCTATGTTCTGTTTCCGTCGCAAGTTCATCAAATTAAGTTTCCGTTTCAGTGTCCTGACAGACATTTTGATGCCATCTCTTTCCAAGAACCTAACAATGAATTTGTATTGATAGCCACGATGGAAGTACTCGGTAATCAACTGGTTGGTTTCAGACTCCTTCTCGCACTTGTCACATCTGTCATCTTCTGATACTTCTCCACATGTAATACAGAACATTATGTTTGACCTTTGCTAACGGCGATTAGAAAAATTTGTCAAGAATAGCAACATCAGCAAACACCAACACCAACACGGTTTGCAACAGCATCAACAACACTTTGTATGCTGCAGGTCAAACTTTTAGTGTATGCTGCAGGTCAGACTTTTAGTGTATGCTGCAGGTCAGACTTTTAGTGTATGCTGCAGGTCAAACTTAGTGTATGCTGCAACATTTACTTAGTGTGCTGCAGTTATATTTTGTGATCATGTAAATGAATTTGTGCATGTGAAATTCATTTTGCAACCGCTTTTGCTTTTGTGTACGTGCAAAACTTAGTACATGCTGCATGTCCCTTGTGGGCCATCGTAGTTTCCTTTACCTTGTTCACATACACATTAACAGGAGACAAGTACGTAAATATAATATCATAACAAAACAAATTAAGCTACTTCGAGTCCTCAAGTGAATAAAGCAATATATAATTAATAGAGAAAATCCTGTTGTCTTTAAAAAGCAATATATCTAAGAATATAACATAACTAAATGGTTGCTATGCGCGCTGTAGAATCCCCCACAAAAATCAACCACAGACCTATCAGGTCAATTTTTGATAACATTTCTGCTGAGCATATCCACTTTCAAAATCCACTTCAACTTAGGCTACTGGTCTGAACTAAACACCATCTAAATGTTGGATGTAATGTTCTAGAACCGTTCTTCCGCATAATACCAATTAGCAACAAGGCATTTACAACAGATACGATTGTCATTCGGGTTAAAGCAACTCAAGCCACGTTTACACTATCCTATCCAACCAAGGTTAAACCCTATTTTAAAGGCAATAGACAGATACAAAAGTGGCGTAAACATCTTTCAATCAACATTAGCCAATGAACAAGGGAAATGAGTGGGATCACGCGCAATGATTGGTCAGTTCTTGATTGCTGTGTTTTATTGCTGTGTGACCGCAACTTGCACAGGTTTGATCCCTGGTTAAGTTAACTCTCCTCGAGAGAGGGGGGTGGAACTATATTGAGCATAGGTACGATTTTGCACTCGTTGTGTAAACGCGATGAAAGTGGGTATATTCTCTATCAAACAAGCGTAGCAGCATTTGACACTTCTTTTGCTTGAATATCCAGGCGCATTTCTTGAATATCCAGGCTTGATAACTTCTTTTAGAAAACAGATGGAAGAAGAACCAAAGGGAGAATCTCAATTTATGAACTGAAAGTGAGCAAAGAAATGCAAAATGGAGTCATAACAGCAATATATCACTTGCGTAGCTGGCAATCTGCCATACTGAGAAGCACTTTGATCGGCAAAATAAAAGGTAATAGCATTTTTGACTAGAGTATGCCTCACCTATTAATTAAAGAGCATTCTAATCAACTGTTAACTTAGGTAAACATGTAGTCAGCTATGTGTTTTTTTTTATTATACCCATAAGAGACCATCGCGGAGAGCAGCATATACCCGATGCTGATAGATATAGAGGCAGAGAGAAATAAGCCAGACAACTAACGAGAAAAACACTTGAAACAGTTATACACTAAATCAATCTTTAAAACAATTTCATCGATTCAGTACAAAACAGTCAGGTGTCTAAAGCTTAAGAGTAACTGTAAAGTTTTAAACGACAGCTGATCAAGGATTTTCGGTGCCAATGTCTGGTACGGCTGCAATGTTGTTATCTTTTGTACGGGAATGACTGCAAAAGTACATTCGAACGCACGTTCTTACCCAAGTGCGCATGTCTTTGTTGTAGCAAAGGACGATAAATGGACTGGCAAGTCGGCTTACGAAGAAGACTGGAATTATTACGTCATTGAAAATACAAACCAGCGAAGAAGCACTCTCGATCTTTGAGAAAGTATAAACACCAACAACGAATTTGTGCACCAGAAGCGGGACGTAGCCAATGATTAAGGAAATTATCAAGGCCATTATGTGTCTGTGCAATCGAGAGACATACTGCGGCCGATTTGCACGATTTGTTTCATTTTGGTACACAGGACTATTATCAACGAACTTTCTTATGCGGAGATATCCATGAATATAAGAAAAAATGAAATACAACAAGCATGTCATCAACACAACAGTATCAATAAATTTCTTTATAGCGGCCTGGCAAAAACGTCTAGCCACAATCAAGCAGAAAAACTGATAAGTCAGTGAAGATGCTATTACCAGTGTCACTGTAACGTACAAATAGGGTCTTTTGAATATCCTGGCGCATTTCGTTGGTCTCTTTATGCTGGGGTTCATATGAATGTAGCGATCGGTTGCTAGAACAACAGTCAGAAGAAAAGTAGTAGAAGAAAAAAATGATAGTATCGCCTCATGTTCCGGTGGCATGTTACAGCCCGGTGGTTCGCTCGTGAAGTTAAAATAAGAGACCAATGGCACAGCAATTGCTCCATTCAACAAATCTGATGCCAAGATGCACATGATCAAGAAGTTTGATGAATTAGACATTGCTTGTTTCGTCTTGAAAAACGCCACGATTAACAACAGGTTTACGGAAAATATGACAGGAGAAAGAATCGCGTGAAAGATACCAAGGGATTGGTTTTTCAATCTACAAGCACTCTCTGAATAACTTGATGAATTTACGCAATTGAACATCTTGAAAGAGCAAACGGCTTCCCGTGCAATCCTTGTTGCAGTCTCTAGGTTCCCGACAGTGATAAGTTTCGGCCAATGAATGACCTTACCAAAGGTTTTCAAGCTTTTCCCAATTATTCTTGCAATATTGACTCCGTTTTATCTTTCAAGACAAATTGTCAAGTTATTTATAATAGCGCAATCCTACAGTCAACTTTAAGACAATACACGTGAATTGAAGCATAAGCAATTGCGACCGGGTAGAAGAAAACCTTCTTTTCCCCTATAAATTAAGACGATTTTGTAATTAGAAAAGTCAACTGTTGACTTCTTTTCTATTCAAAATCATAAGAAAAAGATCTCCTACGTACTCTGCAAAGGACGATATTACTAACTTTAAATAATGAATTTAGTAAACACATTTTTGTAAGACAGCTGCATTCACTGTTAATTAGTTATTGCCATTAAATCAAAACCAATGTCCTACCTCGTTAGTGCATCATATAACCTCTCTAAATGAAAACACATTGAGTCTCTAGGCGTTATGACTAATTGCTTGATAGTAATTATCGCTAGCCGGAACTTTCACAAATAAAATGGACAACGACTTTTCTAAAGATCTAAAATGAACTCTATTAGAAGCCTCAAATTAAGTGTTGCACAAGAAGCAGTTCTGGGCCTATTTCTACTTGATATGCATTTGAAAAGACAGTATCTTTGAATCTGTAGTGTATTTCATAAAAAAACACTAATGGAAACACATATCAGTTACTTTCATTACTGATCAATATCTTCTAAGCTACTATCTTCCAGGCTACTATCTCCCAAGAAAAGATTAAAGAAAGCTGTTCTGTGTTCTACATACTGTTATCAAAGGTTTTGAATATTTTGGAAATGAAGAGAATACTTTGGCATCAAAATATGCAGTCTCTATCTCACACATTATTTGAATTTTTTCAAAATAAATTATTTTGCTAGTATGGTTGTTTTTCTTCCAAATGCAGTAAACAGAATGCAGCGGTTTCTGTCAATGGTATATGTTCCTTTCATCGACAAATGTCACCCGTCATCATCCGATAAAATCATTACAGGCTTAGATTTTTTAGTCTTTAGCTAATCCAAACTGGAAGAAATTGCCTGAAGCTGCATTCTCAAACGTCAAAGATATAAAAAAGGGAGGCAACAAAGCAAGAAAGACATAATCAGCATCATGAAGATAAGAGGAGAAATTTTGTTCTTTAAAATGAGATCAGCATACTCCTGATTCCGAGATAAAATAAAGGTCGTTTGATGGTTGTGCAAGAAGGTATTCCTCACCGTATCTCTAAGTAGAATTTCTTTGTAAACCATTTCTAACCTTCCCCAGAGTTTTCTTCCTTGCTCACTGTTAAGATACTTATGAAACTCCACTTACATTTTGGGTATGAATTTACGTAAAATCTTGTAAAATATCTAGAGTATTAGGGCTTATTCTTGTAGAATATCTGGACAGGGAAGTGAATGCACAGCTGGACAAAATCAGTTTTGATTATAATCTAATTCAAAGCAATTAAGCAATTGAAGAATTTACCAGTCAGCTAACAGAATTAGGAAAGCCATCTCTCAAAGATACAATCAAAGATAGTTACAATTTATGGTCAAATTACAATTAAAAAGTTAGCTAAAGATAAATAGCGTTAAACAATAGCTTATACTTATACCAACTTGAAACGCCGCGACTAATTCAAGTAAATTCAAGTTGATATAGTTATGTCCTGAAAAATCAAGAATAGTCTGTAGAGTATGGGAGAAAGAGCTGGAAAATCTATCGATAATTTCGAACTAAAAGTTGGAAAGCGGGTGGGCTTATATATTGTTATCGATTTGTGGCACAAGCGAACATGTTACAAAATTTAGTAGAACAAAAAATCGATTTGTGGCCGTTTGGAGTCAACCCTAGTTCACATATGTACAGACCTGGAAAGAGTGTATTCTTTTCATACTATCAAACCATCAAGTATCATAATACATTATCCCAAGATAGGCAAGATTTATGCTATCCAGTATTTCTCAACAGGCTTTTGAAATCAAATATTTGTTGCAATTGTTGTTGTATGTTCTTTGTGCAATGGCCATGAGATGGTCATGGTCATTTGTTCCATTTGGATTTATCCTTGTAATGCTGTAAAGTAATCCCACGAGTCTATGGTAATTTCTTTCTTGGCAATAAAAACCAGCAGCTTCATAAGATTATCAAAACTGACAAAAAGAACATGAAGAATAGTCTGCCCTTGACCCAGTCGAAATTCACATAGCTAGTTAGATGTCAGTATCTTGTGAGGTTCTGTTTTCTATTCGCCCTCCAACTGTCTGTGCACCGTCGGCGTTCTCAGTCCCATGGCAAGCACAGCGTAAGAAGCGACCCTTCACCCAGGCACGAGCTTCCTCGTTTTGCCAAAGAATGATAATTGGGCTTGTAAGAGGATACGACAACAATAGTGGAAATGAATAGTGAATATATGATGTGACAACGCGATGCTTTGCTCTTAGGTTAAGCAAGTCGTAGACAGCTTTCAACGCAGTTGCAATTGACAATGGCATGTAGGAAACAAATGCTATAGCAACGAAGGCTAAAACAGTTTTGTACAAGCGATGTATATACTGGGGCCTAACAGTCATTCCAGTCTCGTTTTGATACAGAGGACTGTTATCCACAAATTTTCGAATTCGGAGATATCCGCGAACATAGGCAAATGTCATCGAAATGAGAATAATCACGAAAAACATAGAGAGGAGAAGCATGAAAATTCCCCTTGCTATTGCAAAACCGGCAGTCAGAAAATAGATTGTGGAGTTCAACAAGGAGATGGCAATTGCTACTGCAATTAACACGTAAAGGCGTGGACGCTGAAAAAAGCGAGCAAGTCGTGACGGCCGCTCTATGTTTGGATTCATGTGACTGTAGCGATCGAGAGTTAAAATCACTGTAAGGCACAAAGAAAAAGTTCCAAAAATTCCACCAAAAACAAAGGTGCTGACAGCCATAACGCATCTCATCTGCTCGATTAAAACTGCTATAGCAAGTGCAGGCATCATCAGGAGTCCATTTAGAAAGTCTGACACTAGAATCAATGTTATCAAAAAGTTTGATGTGTTCAAGGTACTTTGTTTTGTTTTCAAGAAGGCAACAAAGAGCAGGCCATTCAAAGACAACGTGACGATCGAGAGAACCATGATGGCAAATCCAGTCAAATCTCTGCTCCATTCGTCATTAAAACTGAAAGGCGTCACTATGTAGTTACAAAATTGCATCTTGTTAATAAAGCACACAAAGTATTCTGTTTTATGTAGGTTACCTATGCGATGCTAAAAGCTTACGACCGAAAACTCCAAGCCAGCTTCAAGAACTTGTCATTCGACAGCTCCTGAACCTTTAAGCACTAATGCATAAGCAATGGTTTATCTGAAATAGGACTCAGCACAACAGTCCACCAGTAGAGAATGCTGTATATTCCAGCTTCAGCAGGGTGGAAATATATATGCTGAAGTCAGAGCAGTAAACGTAAAACGCATGTATGTTCTTCCAATTTGATATATGTTTGTGAATTTGTAGAAGCAGAAATTACTTCATGGTCCGCGTTACTAGTCTCGTCACTTTAGGCAAGCTGTGAACCAGCAGTTGAATCTTAATTATGGTTTTAATTGAACAATCTATGTCTACATTGCTAATGATTTAAAGAGGCAGCTTACAAAAAGTTTCATTCAATTGCCAGATTGGCAGAAGAAAATTGCTTGTTCAGAACAAATAAGCAACGAACCATTAGACGGTT